CGTGCACTGAGATGGAGTTCCACCATCGGTTACTCTACTTCCCGCATCCCCTCTTCAACCCCTCCCCTGCGATCAGTTCATACAAACGCCACTGGTATTGAATATAACACCCCCAATCGGACCTTGGACATGGTAGTGGATCCAGAGCGCTCAGAAACAAAAAACATCAAAAAAAGCCTTGCGCCTACATTGAGTTCTCTCACCGGGGATCGAACCCAGAACCCACCATACAATATATCCGTGTCGTAGTGGAATATTCGGTATGTGTACTAGCCGTTATACTATGAGAGATCGCAGAAGAGTTCACCGTGCAGGTCATTGACACCGCTCCCTCAGCCTCCTACCCAGGCAATTCTAGTGGAGGGATGGTTTCTCCGCAACCGGAAACTACGTCTCCTCCCTCCTCTAGAAGGGAGCGAAACTGCAAGTTTCGTTTTTCCCTGAAAAAACTCCCACGCCAGAAAATCGCATGGGGAGGAGGCTGCCGCTCCCTCAACCTAACCTTCGATTCTCTGCGGCACCCACTGCGTTGTCGATGATGACGACTCCGCCAATTCGACCAGAGCTCGTCAACCCCTCTACTCCGTACGTCCTATCAGGGAATATCGATTGGTTCCCGCTAAATCAATAAGCCAAACAACAGAAGAACGTACCAACATCAAAATAAACGCCCATCCCAGCGTTCTCAAATTCGAAGAGGGTAAACCAGACCTCAACGACTTCAACGCCTAATCACCTCGAAACACTCTCAATTCATCCCTTGCGCCATTCTCCAACTTCCATCATACCATTCACTTGACTCTGATTCCCAACCGCCTGATCCTCCTGCTCCGGCTTTCGTCCTGGTTAGATGCGGTTCAGATATCAAGGAATGAAATTGGGGCACTCGTAAAATCACCTTACGCTATAGACGGAGGCGACATGAAATCCTCCATCCTTGACAACCTACGAACGAAACTAGACGGAAAGTAGGCTGGATCAGTCCCAACGTCATTCGGTACCAAAAACAGAATTCGCACTGTACCTTGAACCTCGGTAGGAGTGGAGGACGAGATGCGCCTTTAGACTGTCGAGGGTACTACCGGCGCTACCGAACGTGTTCCTGCGTTGGGCTATTCGTCGTTCAACACCAAAAGATAGAGGAAAGGGCTATAAATGTAAGAATAACGCGTCAGTGGGTTGAGGAAGATGATGACGAAAAGCAGAACGAACAAAAGCACAACGATGACACCCAAGGTCATCACAACCAATAAAGGGACCCGCATATGGCCATATCCAAATCAATATTGAACGGGCCAAGACGAAACTCGGTGGCTTGTCAACAAGACCGCTTGTTGAAATACGCTAAAGGTTGAGGCAAGGATAAGAATGGCAGGTTGTATTGATGTGAGATAACGAGAACGAACCGTAGAGTTCGCACTATCCGGTCTGACCATTCCTCGTTCCCAGAAGCTTGACCGACGGACGTTCGAGGTCTCAAAACCTTTTCTCCGTCGAAAACGCTCGCCGAACGTCCCACATCGCCTCCAGATCTTCTACTCTGCCTTCTATCCAGCCCATTTCTCCTTCTCCAACAGCTTATCGTCGCCAGACCACATTGCCACAGCCAGAAAACCACCACGAGCAGAAAACCACTCCTGGAGATCCAGTACAACCCGCAGAAAAGGCGATAAGATGTTCAAATCCGCAGTGTCCGCCGTTACCAAGGTGGTGATAGGATATAGCCAGGCGTGCTGCCCATGGATGAAGAAGCAGACTGGAGATATGGTCAAGAGCAAAATGCGATGCGAAGGTTGTTGTTGTTACGTAAAGTTTTTTTTTTGCTGTGACGACATACAATCACGTTCTGCCCAACCCTGAGCGTCAAAAGCCCAGGTGCGATCTTCTGATTTTGTTTTGCTACACCGATGACCAACAAACGAGCGTCGATTTGTCGCTCTTGAATATTGAATTCGAAAGGCCATATTACAAGCATCGAGAAGGACAACCGCGAACTGCAACCGAGATTGGACGTGATCATCTGGGGGTGACTAGTACCGGTGACTTGTATTCCTTGTGCTTGGGATGCTGACGACCATATTCCTTACGATCCGGGACTGGCAGAAAACAGAGAACCGTATGTACCTATGCAAAAACAAAGAAATACTGCACAATCCCTCATATATGGACAATCTAATGTAATGAATGATTATACAACGTTGAGCTTTTCCGCGACTTTGCGAGCAATAATCTGCAACGCCCCTTATGAGCAGAAATCTGCTCATACGACCTGTAATGTGACCGTTTGTCATTCCAATATATGAGTACGACGCGAGATAGCAAGATAGGTAGACACGGTGAGGACATGTGAAGTGTTCATCATGATCTTTGTCGTCGTTGTATCTTCCTGGTCCCAGGTCGACCGGTCCTCCCCACTACGTCCACAAATGCGGCCAAGGCTCGTGAACAATTGTCGCTGAAGTCCGTCGCTTAGGTCTGAGCGCACCTCCCGAATGCGGACCACCTATCATGGAGGCAATGGCCTGTTAGGACGGGTTATAGGCGGTTTGGAGGAGGAGGAGGAGGAAGACGATGAACTCTATATACGACGCGAGACCGATATTCAATAGTCAATACCTCACCAAGATGAAATCGAGCAAACCATCGAGATGACGTCGATATTGGGATATGAATTTGATAATGAGAATACAACCTAAGGACACAGCAACATTAATACATAGAAACTGACGGGGCGGATACAACCTATAATGATAAGTACAACTGTAATAAACCGATATGATAGCAAACGATAACGAGATAGGTAGATAAGCAGAGGACTCATCGTCAACAGGCTATAGTGAGAATAAAAATCATGAACTTGATCGATTCCAAGACGCCGCCCAACAACATTGCAACGACGTGGCTCCACTCCCTCAACATCAATGATGGTTCAACGTCAACCAGCTCTGGGAGGATTGGGACAAGGACGAGGAACAGGAACAGAGAAAAGTGGAGGACACCAGGCCATCACGAGAATAGCGCATAATAGACCAACATCAACCCGACGAAACTTAACACCTTCCCGATGATAGGGCCCCACTCCTTCGGCGCGAGAAGCGATTCACGATCATATATCACCTGCCGTGGACGTGGTGACATTTTATGACGGGTTATATGCGGCTTAGGAGAAGGAAGTGGTAGGCCAAAAGTCGAAGGTTTGGGCGTCAAGGACGACGATCTGATCATCGGAGAACACGATCGCCGGATAAGGTCCGCGTTGTTTGGTTGCGTTCGGGAGAAAGACGCCCACGTCGAATGAGACGTTGTGGAGGTGTTGGATGAGGTCGAGGAGGAGCATGATGTGTTAGATATACCCGAGGTGATGGAGGATGTGGAAGGAGTAGGTGACGTAGGTACGTATTGTTGAATGTTGTGCTGAGGAAGAGGACGAGGGGTAGGAGATGTTGAAGGAGACGAAGACTCGGAAGAGGAATTGGGAACGAGTGGGGAGAGCGAAAGGGTACAGGGTAATTGACACGAGGGACAACGTTGGTTAGAATAAGGACCATGTAGCCACTATGCAAACGTATCAGGACAACGAACGCGATGAGGGTAGAATCAGAAAGGTGGAAATGGGACGCACATCGGCTATATGCTCAAGACAGAATAAACGCCCGCAACAACGTGTTTGACAAGGCATAACCGCATTCTCAAAGCTAAAAAAAAGTTTAGACAAGCCGTATCTCGAAAAAGACACGCACCATATCCCACAATCCATATCCACCACCTCCTTCGTTCCTTTCAACGCCCTGTTATCCCACCTCTTCGGGCTCCATGATCTTCTCTTTGCAACAACGTTCGTGTTGACCGTTCCTGATGAATCTTCGGAACCTAGAACTGGAGTTGCCATATCTTCAGGATCTTCAACACCAAGATTGAGCGGTGCAACATCGTATTCAGGTAGTTCGGAGATGGATTCTAAAACCGGGAGTGAGAGGGATGGACGGGAGAAACAAGAACGGCAACGGCAACGACTCCGAGGACGACATCGAGAGGGTTTGGACTTGGGAGAGAAATAGAATGGGAGAGCAAAAGGAGAGTACATGAGAACTTACGATGATGGTCAGCGCTCGATTCATAATCATATTGGTTGTTCATGATAATAAGCTTGGGGCGTAAAAGTGTTTTTGCTCGGACCTTCAGCTACGTTTCTGTCATTGTCGTCCTTCTTTTGAACCCGTCGACTGCGAGTACAACTGGGCATGCGAGGAGAGCGTGTTCGAAGCGTGGTCGAGGAGAGCAACCCGAGATGAGCGCTGTGCTGAGACGGGGTTGGAGCGGAGGAGAAAGGCGGAATCGAGCCGAGAAAGTCAAACTTACGTAACTAATTTTCCCGCAACGTCGACGACCGGACGGTTTTATCTTCCTACTTACGGCCCTCTGGTATCATACAAAAAACCAGATGTTTCTCCTGTCGTTTTGATCACAAATGCGCCCTACCGAGACAGACAAGAAAGGAGAGGAGTAAAAAGAAATCTGACACGACGCTTCCTTGATTCTCTCACTGGGAATCGAACCCAGATCCTATACGGAACCCAAACTGCAATACGCCATGCATATTTGGTGCGTGTGTAATTACCCATTATACGATAAGATATTGTATCTAACACTTTGCCAGGTTGGTCTACTATAGACGCGGAACACCAGTCGAATTTGACGCAGCTCGAACCGCTGCAATATATCTCGCCGCGGTGTGAACATCTCATTCTGACGAAGGAGACTTGAGTTTTATCCCGAGATATCGTTCCGGTATTTGCAAAAAAAAACTAGGAAATGCAATGATGAGGAAATTCTCTTGCTGGGAGTCGAACCCAGATCCCACACGGACGAGGAAATCGGCACTGGCAGGATATCCGGTGTGTGTAATTTGGCCATTATACCACAAGAGAGTCGGATTGAATTCGGTCTTCTTTATTGTTGAGTCCCAGCTTTCGATAGAAACGAGGAAATTCTCATTGTCAATGATTAGAGCCTTCCTTCGTTACAGTAAGGCATATGAAAAGGCTCATCGGATTGCATAGGTACGTTTGGTATCTCATTCAGGCTCGGTGGTACAAATGATCAAAGGGATAGTCCTAATCGCAAAGAGGTGACTGGTGACGCTAGTACGCACGAGGAGGCCCAAGTCAAAGGAATTCCAATTTCCATGGCGGAAAGTTCTTGCCACCCTCTACAGTCCTACACAATTGTAGAATCAGCTCAGTACGTGGCCTAAATACCTCTGTGGCGCACCAATGTTTCTTGGACCGAAACTTTCGTTAAACAAGCCCCGATGTCAGTTCTCAACCTCTCCACTCGGAATATGCAGGTACGTGTCCGTGTTCAGTACTTTGGATCCGTTGTTGGACGTCTCCTGGACAAATAATACTGAATGCATTTTCGTTTGATTAGCCTGCCCAAAAAAAACAACATCCCAAAGTTCGGAAGTTCTCCCGCTGGGATTCGAACCCAGATCCCACACAAAGGACAATACTAATGAATGAGTGTGTGTCATTAACCCGTTATTACGACGAGAGATTCCGGATGGACGTCACCGTCTATGCACTATAGTACGTACTCATACTAATCCACAGGCTCATCTCCCTTTGTCAACAAAATTCACTCGATTATGGATCTATATCCCGTCGATGGTGTGTTCCATTCCTCCTCTTTCTCGTCCCGTCTCTCACTCACCCATTCAATCCCCCCCTTCTCCTCCCCTCATGCATCACCTACCTTCGACACCAACAAGTACATGACTTTCAATGACGCCTTAATCTGACACCAATGCAGCCAGGCTCTTTTGTACGCATGTACATTTATCATGATGACTCTGACTGTGCTAATCGTTTTTAATGATAGGTACGTCATGTTGCAGCACATCCTTTCATAGCCACTTCAAAGGTGTCTCGATCTTCATTTGATGGATCGCTCGGTAGAATCTATCGAGCGATTCATTGAACCAGCGTTCGAGACCCAGGTCCCGAGGTCTGTGCTTTCCAAAGCGCTCACCGATCACACCCACGAGTTCAACACGTTGAAAATCTCGAAAGGCTATCCAAACTTTGACGTACCAACGCCTATCGGAACCAATCCAGGTCGTATCACGTCCCTGTTGGGAAAACCAATAGCTCGACTCAAAGTCCAAGAGCGCTAGCCAAGGAAATCTGATGGCACAAGGCAGGGACCTGACGACATAGGTGCACATGAACAAGGACTCAAGCGCTCAAAGCAGGGTCAGTGCCAGACAGCTGGTGACCGAGCACCACGGAATCAAAATGCTTGAGGGACCGCAGGCGCGCAGTATGTATGTAACGCACACCTTTTCTCAGCCACGACTCTGCCTCGCCTCGCTATCTCTCCACGGCCCCAATAACACCTCTCCAAGCCGGGCGCTACGCATCGGTGAATTCTTCTCCGTATTCACACGATCCTCAATCTCACTGCCATTTTCAGGAGATTTGCGATACAGACCTTCTACCCAAAACGAACAAGTCCCTTGATTTCACGGGGTTTATGTATCAAGACACCTGTATGAGCGCTTGTCTTCAAGGCGGTTCGGCGAGAATTACAAAGGTGTGGTGTTTTGGTTTGGCGTTTTTTCCCTACGAGATGTCATAGCCGAAGTAGGACCCTCACATCGATTGGATCTGATACCGCTGTCGACACGAATCGACGTATAGAAACCGAAAGTCGGATGCTGCACGGTCTCCTTCCCCATAACCCCCCTGACTTCGACCACAGGCCATCTGCTTTCGATACATCCATCAACAACCCCGCTACCCCACTTCGTCTGCATTTACGCTACCCCTCCAACGTCTCTCGGATATCCATCGTGTGTTTGGTTGATTCCGTTAAGCGCAAATCACGACTGACGTTCAATCAGCAGGATGCTGTTTCTTCTGACCGCCGCACTTGCAACTGTTCGAGCTCAGGCGATTCCCCTTGTGGCCGGTCCCGCTGCCTCCCCTACCATCATTCACGCCGCCGCCGAGATCGCGCCCGGTACTGATTGTTCAGGTGCCAATATGCGGACCTTGGTCGCAATCGTCCGGGGTTGCTTCATCACGATCTTCGCTTGCGTCTTCCAGGCCGTTCACCCCGATCTTTCGAATCCCAATGCTCGCCACCCAATGTTGAACAGGTGGAAAGATCGCCTCCTGCAGACCTACATGTCGTTGATCGTGCCGGAGTTTATGGTCCTTGGCGCAACGAGACAGAGATCAGGAGCGAAGTTTCTGAAGAGGAAGGTTGATGAGATGATACCAAGTACGTTTCAGGTACCGTGGCTCGAGTTATCCACATTAACGGTGTACAGATTTGAAGTGGACCATGACACATGCCCACTTTATCCAGATGGGTGGCTTTGCGTACAGGAACGATGATCAGGAGGTCAAAGCCCTCTTCCCACATACCTTTCTTGAATACCTCAAAGCCGGTCGACTTGTCATCGAAGAACTGCGATTGGTGACAGAAGCTGATATCAAGGACAAAAGCAAGGGCAATATCATATCCAAAGGCCTCGTCATCACCCAGACTATGTGGTTCGTCTTCGAATGCCTAGCCCGGTTGCACCAGAAGTTGCCATTGGTCAAACTCGAAGTTATCACCCTCGCATTCGCCGTCTTGACTACCCTGATGTACATACAATGGTGGTCCAAGCCTCTCAACGTGGATCGTCCCATATTCCTTTCGGTGCTCCCACCCCACTCCAAGTCCGAGTCAACGACTGATGGGTTGTTATCGAACGATGGAGAGTTGGGTACGGGGGGGTCGGGAACAGAGGTCAAATCCACCCCGTGGAGTCTGCTCGCACAAGGAATTCTGACGTGGCAGCACAAGTTGCGAAGTAAGGGGGGCCATCAGGATCAATGGAACGGGATGGGTTTGGGTGTGGCGCCAAAGCCGAGGGAAACTTTCCCGTGGGGTTGGGTGCAATTTTGCGTTATCGGGCTGATTTTCGGAGCCATTCACTTCCTTTCGTGGCACTCCACATTCCCGACACATAAAGAACTGCTTTTGTGGAGAATTTCGTTGATGGTCCTGGTTGCGATGCCCGCCTTCATGTTGGTCGGTAGCCTCTTACTTCAAATTTACGAAAACCAACAATCATCGACCTGGGCGAAGGGCTTCGTCTGGTTTCTCTTCAAGGTATGCGACTACATCGCAACTATCTCCTTCTGCTTCTACGTCTACGCCCGCATCTGTGTCTTGGTACTTGCCTTGCTCGGGCTCAAGCACCTCCCTCCTGGTGCCTTGAACAGTATCTCCTGGACGTCCTACATTCCCCATCTCTAGGTCCAGCAGTTCGTCGTCTTTCTTTTCGCGATTACTTCATTTCTGGGAACTGATGACGACATAGGAACTATGTACATGTGCCAGAATATCGGATATACAAGCTCGATACACGACGTTGAACCGCTCGCTTGTCTTATGTCTCTCATTTCCTCGTGTACCTCTATTTCTCGTCTCCCTGTTTCGTTTCTTGTCGATAGTCTACCTACCTGATCGCTAGTCAGTTCTTGTGATGTATACCTCTGGTTGTGCTTTTGACCTCAATTGCCGTGTCCCCATGAATCTGCCGGAATAGACTCGATTCCGATTCGTAAAACTAATAGTACTACAATCGATAGCTCAGGACACAATAAAGTCAATACGCAAGGAACTGGTACATCGGAATACAACGTATAAGTACAATAACAATGACAATGGCGACGGCGACGAGATGAATACACAGGAGGGATTCGAATTCGTCACGAAAGGGTAGGTAAACGGCAGAGCGTCCTGCGTGACGAACCAGTATCAACGGCAACATCAACACCAATGCTAACCCGACAATACCGCATCTCTTTCATCCGGCGTCACCCCAATGGGGCACGAACGAGTCTTCTCAATCACAAACTGGATTTGTTGGAAATTGGGGTGGGAGTTGACAGCGTCAAAAAAACAACGGCGGAGGGCATTGAACGATAAGGCATCCGAGGAAGATGGTCGGTGACGTAGGAGCGCGTTCGGAATATGAACTTCCCGTGGCGTTCCTAGTCTGACCTTCTTGCGAATGATGGATAACGGGAGGGGATTTGGATGGGGTTCCTAAGCGGAGACGAGGGAGGGGAAGATCTTGACGTTGACTAACGGTGCAGTCCAGCCCCAACCTTCGGGTACAAGAACCTCTTCACGAGGATAGACAATTGGTCGTGGGCGTATTGGTGATTTAGGAAAAAAGTTCTAAAGTTTCGGGGACGACACGACTGAAGAGCGTGATTGCCAGAGGAGTTCCGCATGTTGGGTTGGGGAGAAAGACGCCCGGATCTCGAATGAGACGCTGTGTAAATATCCGACGAGGAAGTGTCAGATGAAGTGGACAGCGACGTGAAGGATATGACCGACGTGAAGGATGATATGGAAGGGGTTGGCGAAGTAGGGGCACATTGTACTTGCGCGTCACGCAGAGGGAGCAGACAAGTAGGTGATACTCGAGGAGAGGAAAACGGACGGGCGCTGGGATTGTTGAAGACGAGTGAAGGGAGGGAGAGGGTACAAGTTGATTGACACGATGGACAACGACCATGTGAGTTGGGTCCGTATAACCACTATGCAACGTCTTCAACACGACGGCGGGCGCGATGAGGGAGAGAATATAGGGATGGGACATACTTTGGCTATGCTCAAACTTCCACAGCAAAGTGTTTGACAAGGATAATCACAACTCCGGAGCTAAAAAAGGTTTAGATGGGTCATATCTCGAAAAGAAAACACTCACCACGTCCTACAGTCCTGCTATCCCACCTCTTCGGGTCCGTGATCTCCTCCGCGCCGTGCTCGTATGGACTGCTCCCAATGGAATTTCGTCACCTATGACTGGTGGTATCTTCGGATCTTCGACACCAGTGCTAAGCGCCAAGCAATGGAACAGCATACCCAGGTGATCCGGGTATAGATTCTAAAACGAGGAGTGAGCGGGGTGGACGAAGTGGATGGGACCGGAAACGAGCTGGATAGGAGGGCTTGACCTCGGGAGAGGAAGAAGAGGGAAGACGTGGATGAGAATACATGAGAACTTACGACGGTGGTCAGCCCTTGGTTCGTATTCGTCGTACATGATACTAAGTTTTGGGCGCAAATCCTGCTTGCGGGGACAGCTACGTTTTGATCATCCTCGTCCTTCTCGCAGCTTGTCTGGTTGAATCTGTCGATTACAGACTCATCTGAGCATATGAGAAGAGCGTGTTCACAGCAGAACAGCCCGTAGAGCGCTGCACCAGAACGTCGGGGATGGAACGGGAGGACCAGAAAGGAGCCGAAAAAAATCAACTTACGTAAAGAGACCCTTCCAGGCGGTCGACGACAACGACTCGAACGAGGACGACAACGACCCGGTCCTGCATTCACACTTGCATTCGAGATGGACTCTTCTGATTTCATACCACCAAACGAACCTTTCTGTTGCCGTCCTGATCAAAGAGATCACACAAATACGCCGCACCGGAAAGACAAGGAAGCAAAAGTTTAGGGGAAAAAAGTCGGTCCATCTACCTACGTGACTTCTCTCACTGGGAATCGAACCCAGATCCCACACAGACAACTGGTATATGAACTCAATAACCCGGTGTGTGTAATTTAGCCATTATACTACAAGAGATTCAGATTTGACTCTGTCTTCTCCCTTATTCAGTGCGAAATCCTTGAGAAGATGGAATGTATAGTTGGATGCTCAGGTGGCAGGCGAGTACGAAAAGACTCATCAGATCTCCTTCGTAAGTCCCATCTCATCCAGATTACCACAACCTCGGAGGATATCTTCCTCTCAAAAAACAACCCAAACACTACCCTCCCGATTACAGAACGTTCGACTCGGACTTCTCGATTTCAGACAATAGTTGAAGCTTCTTCCTCGTCTCCAGCAGAGACACCCAAAAACCAATGATGACGAGGCACTCTCTCACCGGGAATCGAACCCAGATCTCACACACAATGTCTATTACCACCCTGACATCAGGTGTGCGTATTCGGCCGTTATACTATGAGAGATGAATAATGCGATTAAGCAGGCGGTCGATTGCGAGGAAGTGAGTCCAAGTTTCCTCTCTACATGGCCAAATCGACGTGGCATCGATTGATTTCGCGTCAGCGTCAACATCCTTTCTAGGGTATAGATGTACCTGAACGCCTCTACAGCAGGATCCACAATACCAAGTACAGGTTACTTCCACTGACGCCCAAGCCGAACCAACCCCGATATCAATTATCACCTTCACCATTCGATATATGCGCACAGTGCCCTTCAAACAACCTTCAAGACGATCCGTTCAACCTGGCTAATGAGATAAGTAACGTCCACTGCAAGAAAAGTTATTGCAGCCAAAAGGTACACGGTCGAAGAGTCATTCCCCAAAAAATCATCTGACTGCTGCTTAAGTTCCCTCGCCGGGATTCGAACCCGGATCCCACACAGGATGACTAGACGAAAACACAGATATCAGGTGTGTGTAATCAACCTACTATACGACGAGGGATTCCAATTCGGCGTTTCTGTCAACGCACACTGCGCATCGTTCAACAGGGGCTCCTAGTGCGAGCTCGTTATTCTCAGTTCTAATCCCCCTCTTCAACCAATTCACGCATTTAAAAATACAGATGAGCCGTGGCTATATTCCATCACCGTTTGCCTCGTCTTTGTCTCATCACACACTCAAGCCCAACAGCAACCAAAAGACGAGTGAAAATCTCAAATAAAGCCCCAAAGCTGATTACTGTACTAATGATCACGCCGACATCCTGATCAACATTGAACAAAACTCTTCAGGCTCAGATCCAAAATAAACCTAGAACTAAGCACACTCTCACTGGGATTCGAACCCAGATCCTACACAGAAACAGCATGGGAATCCACCGAAGCTATATTTCCGTGTATGTAATTTTACCGTTATACGATGAGAGATGGACAGTACCTATCGGAAGTTCTGACCTGTGTTGTTGTCCAGCGTGGAAGGTCTGGTTAGAATTAGGAGAACCGCACCGGCGCGGTACGGTTTTCAGGTTCACTTCATGAATCTTTCGGCACAAGACTAGTGAGCCTCCCTACATATATGCATTGAACTCTGAAATCTAAAACGAGAAGTAAAATCAAAAAACATGGCACCAGGTAGGTAACTTAGATCTCTCACTGGGAATTGAACCCAGAACCCCCCTCACACCAACAATCGACATCGAGGTGGAATAATCGGTGTAAGCCCGTTGCACTATGAGAGACGTGAAAGTTGACGTTTCCGAAACCATCAACGAGTTAAGGTCACAACCCCCGCATACCCTTCCTTCTCTGCTTCGCTTCTTCTCTCAATTTCAATTTCCACCACTACTACGCCCTCTCCCACTCGACACATCCGGTTGGAATCCGAGTTGACCACCATCACCATCACCACTCATCCCGCTACACGTGCTGAGATGTGGTCTTTTCATTTGACGAACTCAAGCCGAGGAGAGCGGAATGTTATCTTTTTTGAGTTGACGAAAACTGGGAGCGGACAGGGTTGATCCTGGTACCGATGACCCCGGTGCATGTTATCGGGTTTATTGAACTGAAAGGACAGGACTGTTGACGCGTTGACGAGGCGAACTCGTTCTTGTGAATGTAGCACGTTTGACCTGGGAGGAATCATTGATAACCGTTTAGACTCGACGTTTGACATTGACGAGGATAGCTTCGAGACAGTTCGAACTACAGAAGCGGAAGTCATTGTGATCATGATCGGTTTACAATCCTCAACGGAATACACAACCCCCTGAACAACCAATTCTCTTACACTTCTCTTATAGTATAACGGAAATTACACGCACCTCAGATGAGAACGATAGGAGTATCGTGGATTCTGTGTGAGATCTGGGTTCGAATCCCGGTGGGAGATATACCCCAGGGTGGTTGGTTTTTGGATCGAAACGTGGTCGATGGACCTTTGTCAATGAGTTCGTTGAGAGAGAGAGAGGGAGATTTGGGGAGATTATAACTTGACTTTTTGGGTCGTGCTAGATTGTGACTGTTGATGGGTTGATGCGTTTACGAGGCTCAGTTGTGAATGTGGGACGGTGGCATGGTGGAATCCCTGGTTCGGTGAATTCAATTTGATGTTTGGTATTTAGCGAGAGGGAGGGGAGGGAACTTGGGGAGGGGAGAAGGGAAAGGGAGAGGGAGAGGAAAGGAAGGACGGTAACGTGCATGTACAGTACATTCGATAACCCCGCCGGATAGCTTTTGCTTTTGTCCACACCCTTACTACTTGCTGTTGGTCGACTCTCTTGACGAAAAAACCATACGTCCATCCGGCTTGGTGTGTCTTTCCTTTCTCCTCCGTCTTCGATTTGGTCTAGATTGGTATCTGCGTCCGGGTGATGGAAACGGGAGAGGGAGCTAGTAATTCAACCACTAATCGTTCGTTGTAAGTATAAGTAGCGACGAGGTGGAGCACGCGCGTGGTGTATTGGAAGAGGTGGGTGATGTAGGGACGTATCATATAGGTGTTATGCCTGAGGCGAACACGAGGACGAGGACAAGGGTAGGTAGCTGTTTGAGGTGGGTTTGGCATGAAGCCACTACCACCACCAAGGTGTTTCAATACTGTACGACGTACTGTAGATGAGTATGGATATGGAGGTGTGAGAGGGCGTATGGAGATGGGATGTACGTTGGCCATCATGCATCATGATATATAACCGCCGTCTCGGAGCTGAAAAAACCGGAGTCCCAGTTTGAAGCAGGACGGTCCACCGGGTCCCACGATCTATATCTTTCGTACGTTCAGGGATAGGTTCTCAAACGATGAGAGGGGTGGACCCACGGAAGAATGGGGGTGCGGATGGGAGGAAATTCGAAGACGAGGGAGGGGAGTAGAGAGTTTGGCTTGGGGAAGTAGAGAACGGAAGAGGAGAGGGTTACACCTCCAATTGTCCGCCAGTGGACCGCCAGGTGGCTGGGCGACGCGATAAGCAGGACTTTCCCAGCCGATCATCACCTGTGCTCGGCTGGTAATAGCATGTCGAATTTGCAGCTGGAGGCCAGGACTCAGCTCAGCTAGATGCAATCTGGGCTGACACCCAATCAGCAGATGGAATTCAGACTTTTGGACCATGTTAGCGCAGCGGGCTTGGATGTCATTATATCGACTTGGTACATGTCCTGTATAAACACTCTCTATGTTCCGCGAGATTCCCACCAGCTGATTGCACAATGTGGTGGCTAGGAAATACCCAACTCGTCGTCAGCTGTGGTTGGCTGTGGATGATCTGGATGGTCATCTGGCCTATAGGCGCTATGCATGTCACCGGTGTGTATTAGAAGATGTTATAGATACTATATCCCATTGGCTGCATACGTGGGCTCCACTTGCACTAGACATGAGGCACGTCTGGCGTCGACCGTTGATACAGCCACCATGCTTGTCGGCTGCGCAACAAGCCCCGCCGAAGCGTCCTCAACTCTCTGCTTCTTTGCATCTTTCTGCATTTCCAGCTCCTCCGCCTTCCGTTTCTCCTTTTGCACTTCCCGCAGTTGTTCAGATATGGCGTTGTGGTGTTGAGAAAGGCCAGCCGAGGGTATAACACTATCTCGCTGATGTTAATACAGATTCCAATGCTATGGAGAGTGACGAACCACTATCGAGCTCGACCTTACGACCCTTAGCCATTGGCCTACAAGTTACAACAGCATATTTGACGCAAGACTTGACGAGTTTGGGGATGCATGCTCATCGGGGACTCCACAATAATTTGGTCTTGTTATGATCCCTGCCACAAAAATCATTTAAACTTCCCTCCGTTCCATCCTCCATCCCCATACTTTCTTTCTTCTCCTCCACCATGTTACCGCCCAGCTCCTCTTCCACCACCTCTGATGCCAACATCGACCCCGCCCTACGGGAACTCCAGGATGTGATGAACCGCCCCCCACCTCCTCCCAACCACGCTCTTTCTCATCCTCCTGCATTGCCCATTACGCCCAGTCTGATTGCATCCCCCACCGTTCAGAACAGTCGTATCCACGCCCGTTGTCTCGGAACACGCCTTAAGCTGGCACCATATCAGCGTACTATTCTTGAAGAAATGGCTGAGGTATGGCTGCCAATCGAAGTTTGAATCGTCACTTACTACTCAACTGGGATATACTAGCAAAGTTCTACCGACCGGAATATCACAATTGCCGCTCTCGTATGTCAGCTAAAGGTGAATTTGGATCGGATCCTAGTCTGTCAGCCTGCTTGGACAATTCCGCCCGCACTGTACAGCAATATAAATAGTTATGCCCTCGCCGTTCTTCTTTCCCCAAGCCTCACTGCATATAAGGGAATGAACCTTGCATTGTCGTCCCGGTACGTTTTTTATTTATAATCTATGCGCATATATTCACCTACGCCGTGCATATATGCATGTCTTTAGCGTTTGATCAAGCAGTACAAGCTACACGTACCGGACAACATTGACTATGACTCCCACGCCGTTAGCCTTCTTCAGACGCTATTGGTGAAGCGTTCACCCAAAAGCACTCGCATATTAAGAAGGCAGTATGTATTCCCGTTTCAACAGCTCCGATTATCTTCATTGACTGCTCTTGCTAGATTACTAAAGCAAGTGTCGGCGAGACGCCTGCGAGCATGTTCGATCTTGCTACCTCAATTGTTGCCGGTTCTCGGTGCAGCGTGAATGTTGGACTATGTAGCCGTCTCGCCCTGTTGGTATGTCGTGTTACTCAACCTCCCTTTTTCAATTTGCTTATATTTTTCCATCTCAGCCCAAGGTGTTTCTCGAGGAGAAGGAGAAAGAGAAGGAGGGTGAGAGTGAACTACTAAGGAGGTTCTGGGATACGGTTGACAAGCGAATGGCGTTGATTCGGAAAGCATCTGAAGGGGACAAGGAGAAAGTCTCGCGGTGCGTTCCCCTTCTTGCTATCAAACTCAGGTCTGACTTCATCTTTATTTAGTGCTTTCATTCACTACCTCGATGATGACTGGAAGAGATATCCCGGATTTGAAAACACAAGGATCACTGTTGCCTTTGACCCTGCTGACTGGCAGGCTGCCGTTGATGAACAGGTCGCTCAATTGCCCGAGCCTGAACCTGAGGCTTGAACCACCAGCACCTATCAACCAGAATCACCATGGCGTAGATATATTCATTCTACACCTTCCTCTTGCATCATCAGCATCATCATCGAGGCCAGTCCTTAATCCATTTTTTTTGTATCAAACTAGTACTATCCACATGTATCACCTAAATTACGACCAGCTGTCATTCATGCAGAATACAATCTATTTTCCTGTCTACAAATTGGTGCGATCAAGTAGATGTGTGGCTGAACATGTATGTAACTGAGGTGGCAACAGTAAACCAACCAACTTCAGGACACGACGTAGAAATCTGCCCAGCAGGTCATGACCAGGAGTCGGCGTGTATTTCCCACCAACATAGCACGTCGATATGTAGCTAAATGTACATATAAACCAGGCCATTATTTGCGCCCACCACCTCGACGACACGACACCTATAACCGCCCCACAGAAGGTGACCAGCGATTCACATGCATCTCGCGCCCACTACTCACATATATCCCGGCACACAACCAGCTGCCTCCCAGAAACACCTCCACCTCGCTGACAGGCCTACCTGGATCCAGCCTGTCATTAGTTCGATTTCGTATGGCGGGTCAGCTGGCGGCAGCCATTCTCGATCTGGGGCGGACTGTCGAACGGCTGAGGGAGTCCACCTGCCTAGCAGGTGTGGGAAAACCGGAGGTGTATAATGAGTGAAGTTGGGGAAATGGGCAGAGTGAGTGGGAGAGGGAGGACGAATGTGGGTAGAGAACGACCATGGATCGGAAATGGAGCTGGTGAAGACGAGTGAAGAGGGCTATTGACATGGCGGAAACCGAGTGTAGCCACTATGAGACGTGTTCAGCGTGATAAAGCTTTAAAGGCCAAGGTAGAGGTTCCGGTGATGGGACGTACGTCTGTTATATGCTCAACACAGAATAAACCACCCCACGACTTCGCGCCTTTTAAAAGCGCTGCGATTCCACCAGTTCGGACTCCCAACACTCGTCTTCATGGCTATTGATGGATCTTCGGTGGTCGTTATCATGTCTTCAGGGGCTTCAACACCAACCAGGGGAATTACCGTTCAGAGATAGGTTCTAAGACGAAGAGTGAGAGGGGGACGGGACGAATTGAATAAGAATGGGAGGGAATACGAGGAGGAGGGAGGGAGGGAGAGTTTGGTTGTTGGGAAGCAGAGAAGGAAAGAAGACGGAGAGTGCGCGAGAGGGAATCCGATGTAGGTCGTTGTTGTCTTGTCTAGTCGAACCCCAATCAAAAGGGTTTGACGAGGCAGAAGTGGGGTCTCGAAGCTAAAAAAGGTTTAGGTGAATCGTATCTCGAAAAAGATACTGGCCATATCCCACAAACCATATCCACCACGTCCTTCGTTCCTTTCAAAGCCCTGCTATTCCATCACTTTGGGTTCGGACTCCTCAATTTCCTTCTCGAACACTCGTGTTTACGGTTGTGAATGGATTCCGTGTTATCACCGCCATGTCTTCAGGATCTTCAACACCAACGGGAACGCAAGACGATGAGTGAAAGGGGTGGATGGGACGAAAGAGAGGGGATACGAAGACGAGGGAGGGAGAGTTTGGGTTCTGGAGAAGCATAGAAGGGAAGAGGAGAGGAAAGTGCATGAGAGCTTCCGAGGTGGATGAGCGTCTGATTTGGGCGTACAAATTTTCTTGTGCGAACCTTCCGTTGTCGTTTTTGTCAAGTCGAACCCGTCGACCACGGATTCACCCCAGCAGCCAGAGAGCGCGTCCAAAGCCCATAGAGCACTGCAATGAGACGGGGTCAAGAGAAACGGAGAAACGGAGCAAAGCGCCCGCAAAGCCGAAGAAGCCAACATTACGTAACGACGCATCCAATCGCGTCTTTTTCTGGCTTTGCGCTTTCCCCGTCCACTCCGATGTCCTCTTCGCCTTTGACAGAGGCTCCACCCACCTCTGGTCCTTTTACTCGCCTCGTGCGCACCGTCAGTGGTCGGAACACCACTCTGGACCAACCAGGGCCCGATGCATCTACTTCTACTGCAACAGCGGATGAGTCCACGACAACGCCTTCGACTTCCACTGCCTCCTCTCAGACGCAGGCGCAGAGGCGCAAGTTTAGTTTGACGGATAAACTTAGAGAATTCGGTGGGAGATCCGGGAAGGGGAAATCCAAATCTACCGAAGAGTCGTCTGGTTCCTCTCCAGCTCTCTCCTCGCCTGCTTCTCCCATGCTCTCAACCGACCTCGTCTCTGGTCACCTCAGATCCATAACCGAAGATCCCTTCTCCTCCCTCCCACTCTCCCCCTCCCCTTCACCCTCCCCCATCCCCTCCTCCTCCCTCCCACCAAACCCCGACTCAACCACCCTCGCCGAAAACCTCCGTTCCCTAATCGATTCCCTCCCAACACCAACACCACCTCCACCCCGTCCTCGTAAAATACCTACAAAACCACCTTCACCCAAACGGGATAGTGATGGAAAACCCATCCCGCCTCCAGCGCCGACGGTTATTCAAGAGAAATTGATGAAGTTGTTGTCTAGTGCGACTTTTATGAATGGGTCGAAGGATCAGGAGAGGCCTAGTGTTTGGAGTGTTTTGGATGGGTTGGGTAAACCGGGGGGTGGTGGTGGGGATGGGGATGGGGAGGACGACGGTGGGGGTGAGGGTGAGGCGGGGGAACCGACGATGGAGTATCCGGATAATACGAGCATAATGCTCACTTCGCCGCTCATACCCACCAAAGACGACCTGGTAGAATTGGCTTCGTCGGATTATATGCCGTTTTCACCATCGGCGTATGAAACTGAAGGTACCGTGGTAGAAGAGGGAGAGGAGGAGGAACGGGAGAAGATACCAGAAGCAGGATGGATGGACGTATGGCCGTTGACTATGTTCATGGGTTCGGGCTCGTCAAATAGCGCGAGGGTGGACTCCAAACCGCCAGCGCGAGTTGGTAAGCAGCAGCAGCAGCAGAGGGTGTGGACCCCATCGAAGGACAAGTTATCTATCGAAGCTATGTGGTGGGGTTATCGAATGTACGTCCCCGTCTGCCTTCCTCCCTTCCTCCCTTGCCCTCTCGTCCTTCTTCCCTTACTCACCTCCCTCCCCCAGTTACCTCCCCCCACCTGTCCTCCTAATCCTCTCCGACCGTCAACTAGAAGCCACAAAACGAGCTGCCCTCATCACAACCGCCTTAACATGGTTCTTCAACAACCTACCCGTAGCCTCGTTACCACTTCCGGTACAGCCAGTGGTTATATTGTTGCAGAGGTTGGTTCCGTATTTGGGGTATATTGGGACTTTTAT